AGCGCAGTGGCGGCGGTTCGAACCCCGCGCTGCATAATTTTGTTTTGCTTTTTGCATAAAAACCTCATTTTTTATCTAAAGTGCTTGTTTTGAGCTGTAGGATGCTTGTCGAGCCAACGTCTAGTCAATTTTGACGTTGAAATTAATGAAGAAAATCGAAAACTATAACGATACCTTCATTTTGGTGAAAACTAGGGTCATAATTGCCGTATAACTTTCAGAATAACGGTCCGTAGCAAATTTGGAAAAGCGAAATCAGCGAAAAATTCTGTACAAGATGCACTTGAACCCGAAGGGTAAAACTCCCAAGTTGAGTAAAAACACTTTACAGTAAGCGTAATAAACCCACTCGAATTCCTGGCCAGCTCATCAGATTTACAAGGTAACAACCTGGCAGAGAGGGCGTAGTCCAGACTGCACATTGCAACGGATTGTGGTTCGAACTGAAAATGGACTAATTTTGCTGGCTATTCATGCGGGCGAAGATTTCTGCGCCCTTTCAGAACAAGATTCATGTTTTCCACGACAGCCAGAATCATCAATCCATTCGACTGCCAAAAACAACAATAAAAATTACCATGAAAATGTGGTCCCGGCCGAGCAGGTGCCCGCCCGCCGCAGCGATCATGCAGCCCGGTATGAGCGCGTCAGGTGGGAGATGAAAAAGGAAGAAGTGACGATGGTTTGTAGTTGCCGACGCACTGGTTGATCCAGATGCGGTGGTATTCCATCCCCAGCACGCATCTACATTGGAAAGAATCCGAAGTTGAGAGAAAAACGCGACGTTCGGCACACTGAGCAATGGTGGATGCGATCTCGCATTTTGCAGTTTTAATACGCCACCCACTTTCAGCGATCACCTGATTTCTGAAAGCGGAAAAGATTAGCTTTATAGCTGTAGAGCTGCGGTTTTTCGATGCGCAGGAATCAGGGCAGTAGGAAAATGAGTTCTCCAGGAAAAACAAAAAATGCGCCTTAAAACCTAGATCTAGAAATCGAGGAATTGTAAAAAAGAATCCGATGAACTGAATTTTCAGTTTCGCGCCGAAGGGCTATCTTTGTCTTTTCAAGAAAACGTTGCACTTCGACAACCAGATAAAAAAACTGGCAAGAGAGCTGCTGCTTTCCCGCATTTTCCAGAACGGCCGTTAGGAGAAAGGTTGCCAAAATATTCAACTGAAAAGTTTAACTTATGCCAACCCCAAATCCCGGCAGCGGTGGCAGCAGCCGGGCCTTCGTGTAGTGGTACATGATGATGTTGATGAGGAAGTAGACGCCCAGCACCAGAGTAGATGGCCCGAAGCCACAGGGGCTGATTACCTAGGGCGTTCGTGAATCCAGACAGAAAGTAACTTTTACGCTTTGCTCATACGGCAAAATGACGCAGAAGCCGGTGATCGCGATGAAGATGGTGATGAGGTGGACGAAGACGACCAGGCACTGGAAAAATAGCATTTTTGACGTTAACGGCTTTTACTGTCCGTTTTTGTTTCCCAGAGGGCCAGATTTTGATGGAAAGTCACAGCCAAAATAGCGCGCGATAGCTCCTGGAACATTTTATGGCAAAAGAATCAAATTTTTTTACAATACCGGGGGATGGCGATCGTTTCCCAAGGGTCTTGAAATGAGAAGAAAAATCTAGCAACATTTCAAATGTAACAAATATTAGAACCCCTATAAAAGGTTATATTTTGCTTTTTTGAGAAGCCCGAAAAATAGTTTCCTCAAAATTTCTGATAAAAATTACAGAACTTTTCGAGCGTTAGAGCGTAAAATCGTTTACAAAAACTTCCCTTACGATATTAAACAAATAAGA